GCCTAGCAAGCTAATCCTTCAGTTCACACATGGGGAAACTGAGGCCCATGCTCTGACGCTGCTTGTCAGGCCCTCTGCCGGGCCCAGGATTCCGCTTCCTTTCCTAGCCACTTGTGAGCCCCCATGTAGCCCCATTTGAGTCCTGTGGAGGAGACTGCCCCACGCGGCTGCCCACGGCTCTCCTTCTGCCCATGTGGAGGGGGCAGTCTTTTGGGCCGGTGGGTTCTGACTCCTGCTGGCCCCACCACGGGAACTGGGCGGTGTTTGTCACAGGACACCCTCAGGGGGGCACAACCCACCCCCTCCAACCCTCCCCCTTCCCCCCCCCCCCCGCACTGGGGCAGCTGCTATTTGGCTTTGGGGTGCCGCTGGGGGTGCCGCGGGCCACGGGGTGTGCCATGTTCTTTCTCTGCTGGGTCCCCTTCCACCTGCTGCTTCTTCTGAGTCTGGGGGGGCTGGGGGAGCCCCGGCTGGACATGGTGGAGGTCAGGGTGCTGCTCAGAGCCCTGGAACTCACCTGGGGAGGGGTGCCGCGGCTGCCCCGACCCTCATCCTTACGCAAGCGGGGACCAGGCCTCAGGCAGCATCTGAGCCAGGCCCTCTGGTTCTGCCGGGGGGGGAGGGAGTCTGCGAAGCACACGGGTGAGGGGTCCAGCCATCCTGGGGGATCTGGAGGGAGACTCCTGGGGGTTGGAGGGATTGGGGTCCCATCTCCTCAGACTCTGGAGAATATGAGTCATGGAGATTCAGCAAGAGATGAATAGTACAATGAGGAGGCAGAGAGAGGAGGAAGAGAGGGAGGGAGAGACAGAGACACAGCAAGAGGGACAGAGATGGGGAGGGTGGACAGAGATGGGGGGGACACGAAGGCCCTGAGAGAGAGTTGGAGAGAGAGCGACAGAGCTGATGGCAGGGAGCGCGTGGAGACAGAGACCCTGAGAGAACGGGGTGAAGTGGAAGACGAGGTGGGCGGGGACGCGTGCCCGTGCAAACGTAACGGGGCTGCAGAGACAGATGGCGGCCAAGGCGGGGGGGGGGGGGGGGGGGGGGGGGGGGGGGGGGGGGGGGGAGGTGAGAGGCAGGTCAGGCCGCCGGGGAGATCAAGTGGAAGACGGGACAGAAAAAGATATAGAGACAAAGACCCAGTGAGGCACAGGAACACGGAGAGCTCCAGAGAAAGACGAAAATAGCCCTGGCCTCAGCCCAGGGAGAGAGTGGGGAGACAGAGACACAGGGAGACACACCCGAGAGAGGGCCATGGGCCTGCATGTCAATGGGGTAGGAATCTGGAATGAGGGTGCCCAGCCCTCCTGATTATGCGGGGACTGACTGAGCGATCCCTGGATACGGCTCGGGTGCTAACACCGCCAAGTCCCCCGCGAACCAGGACGCCTTGGTGTCCCGGGTGGCTCGGAGCCCCGCAGCTCGGCACCGGGTTGCAGATTCTCTGGCTCACCGGGCCGTTGGTTATCATTTGCCTCCCTCCTCCCTCGCTGCCCTGGGGGATGTGCCTCCCAACTGGGGCTTGGGGGTGACGCTGGGGTTCGGTGCTGAGGGCCCAGCAAGAATTCTCGAAGCCGTCCTTGCTGCAAAAAGGTGATTTTATTAAAGCACAGGGACGGGACTCATGGGCAGAAAGAGGTGCACTGGGGTGGCAAAGAGGGACTGATTATAAACCCTCAGGTTGGGAGGGGTTAGGGACAGCGTAAGTCCCTGAGGAATTTTGGAAGCCAGGTTTCCAGGACCTTGAGGGAATTGCCAACATATTATACTTGGGGGTTAAAGATAAAGGAGGTTTGAGGGGCATCTGGGTGGCTCAGTCGGTTAAGCGTCCGACTTTGGCTCAGGTCATGATCTCACGGTTCGTGGGTTCGAGCCCCGCGTCGGGCTCTGTGCTGACAGCTCAGAGCCTGGAGCCTGTTTCAGATTCTGTGTCTCCCTCTCTCTCTGACCCTCCCCTGCTCACGCTGTCTCTCTCACTCTCAGAAATAAAAACATTTAAAAAAATTAAAAAAATAAAGATAAAGGAGGTTTGCAAAGGAATCTTTATGTGTTTAAGGAGGCTCACAGGATCCTAGTGCGGTGGGGGGGGGAGGGGGGCGTCAGGATAATGTTAAGCAAGATTCCCTTTGGCCCCCAGCAAAGTGCCATCACTGAGGCAGCTGAGCTCCCGAGGGAGGTCACTCTGCCTGCTTCAAGGACTCTCACTGCACTGCAGGCAGCTCGGGAATTTCACTCGCCTTTGTTTCCCACATCACCCTGGCAAGCACTTGATGAGCGTGATGTTAGGACTCCAGGAAACAGAGTCTATAGGTGCCTGCAGATTAGGCTACGGACAAGATTGCCTTTTTCTTGCAGTTACTAAGTCATCCAGAAACAGAAGGGGCTCCTGTCCTGCATGACGGGGATCCCGATCAGTCAGCCAGATGCTGTCTTCCCTTTCTCCAGCTCTTGGGCAGCCGGGAGAGCCCAAGGAATGTCACACATGCCTCACCTGGGGGTGGGGGTGGGGTGCTGTTAGCCCGTCCTTCGCCCTCAGCTTGCCTGGCGCCCCCTCATCACAGCCGCGATTTCAGCACCCCCTGCTCCGAGAAGAAACTATACAGTTTGCTTTCTTTGGTTTTCAAAATTCCTAAATGTTTCTAAACTGAAGGTTAATTTTTGCTCCAGGATCTGAGTCCATGTATCTACGGAGCTGCCTCAGAAATGCACTGAGCTCCGAGGGGGGGTGGGGGGAATCTATCTCGTCTGTCTTCAGAAAACACATTACAGAGATGCCTCTGAACCTGGCTGCACATTAGAATCTCCTGGGGAGCTTTTAAAATCCAATCGATGCCCAGGCCCCATCCCCGGGCCTTGTGGTTTAAGTGGTCCGGGGTGGAGCTGGGCTCCGGGAGTTTCAAAAGCTCCCCAGGGATCCCCACGGGGCAGCGGGCTGAGCCCCATCCATCCCAAGTGCCTGTGGTTGTGGAAATGGAAAATTAACAGCTCCCAGGGGACTGAGAACCCCAGCACTAAGGGGTTGAAAACCTGGTGGGGGAGGGCGGAGTACATACAAAGACCAACTTCTTTATCTGTGTCTGGTTGTTTCACAAGCATTAACAGCCAAGACCCAAGCTGGGGGTCCTGGAGGCGTCAGATCCTATTCTGTGCACCCCACCCTCAAGCTCCCAGTCACAGCCACAGAGGAAGGGAGGGGAGAGCAGGCAGCCTCACTGGGATCTGGAGGGGCTTTAGGAAGCTCTCCAGAGGAAGCTGATGCACTTTCAGGCAGAGAGCACAGCATGTGCAAAGGCACTGGGGAGTGGCATTTTTAAAAATCATCTCTAAGTTATATGTGGCTTAAGGATATACTGGGGGACAGGGGTGTGTAGGAGGTAGGTGAAACTGAAAAAAGGAAAGGAAAGGAAAGAAAACAAAAAGGAAAGGAAAGGAAAGGAAAGGAAAGGAAAGGAAAGGAAAGGAAAGGAAAGGAAAGGAAAGGAAAGGAAAGGAAAAGAAAAAAGAAGAGAAAAGAAAAGGAAAGGAAAGGAAAGGAAAGGAAAGGAAAGGAAAGGAAAGGAAAGGAAAGGAAAGGAAGGGAAAGGAAAGGAAAGGAAAGAAAGGAAAGGAAAGGAAAAAGTGGAAGGAGGCAGGTCTGAATACAGCCTCCAATACAGGCTGAGGGGCTAGGACTCTTGTCCCCAAGGAATCTGGGGGCCACGGAAAGGCTGCGAGCAGGGAGAGACAGGGTCAACTCTGGGTGTAGCAGGACCCCTGTGAGAGCTGGAGGAGGGACACAGGGAACAAGGCGAAGATCCAGGGAAAGAGCTCCTAGTCTCCAAATTTTGGCTTTTCCCTCCTGGAGCCCTACAGACTAGCTTCTGGCTGGGAAAGTGGTCCAACACCGCCCCCGTGTGGTTACTCATAGTTTTGCAACCAAGGCCTCCTATAACTAAAACTACCCTGTAAATCAGGACACATTCGAGAAACCGGGAGGGCGCTATTACCCCTCAGGCTGCAAAAACCCGCCCAAAATGTTTGCAGTCCGGGAGTCCAAATTGTAGTGAGGCTGTAAATCCGTTCCTAATCAAAATACGCTAGGGCTTTCCTGAGAACCCAGGATGTTCGATCACGCTACTCAGAAGCTGCCTTTTCAGATGTTGAGTTGAAATGAAATTGTTTACTAGGTGAGGAGGATGAAGCTCAATCAAAGGCTGGGGTGTCACCCAGGGCATTCCATCTACTGGGGATGAGGGCAGGGGGTGAGGAAGAGGAGGCTCGTAAGGGAGCTTGTAACAGACCGTGTCTGGAGGTCTGGACACTTCCATAGGAAGGGACGTTGACATTGGGTATTGAAGGTTGAATAGGAGTTTTCTAAGAAAAGAGAAAGATGTGTTGATACATTATAACAATGAAGATGATAATAATATGACGATGCAGACTTTTTAGGGCTGACAAATTCATGTCTTGGATCTCCAGTTGTTCTGGCTGTGGCCTCCTGGCCCACCGGACAACAATTTTTCACCTTTGTCTGATGGAGAAGAAAACCCACGTTCAGAGAGGAATATAGCTGAAGTTCAGCAGTCTGTGCTGATGGCAGGCGAATGAGCCCTGCTCTCTCTCCTCTCTGTGCTTTTGCACCCAAAGTTCAAATGTCCTTCCTCCTCTCTAGTTTTTCCTGAAAGACTCCTACTCATCCCTCAAAACCCACCTCAGATTCTGGGCTTCTGGCCTCAGATGGGAGAGTCCAGGCCTCTAGCCCTCTCCTTGCTCATCCAGGAGACTGGACCCTTGCCCTCCTCACTCCCCCCCCCCCCCGACTCAGAGACTTGACCCTTAGCCGGAGCCAGGGACTAGGAGACTTGGCCCTCGGACGGAGCCGGGGACTCGGAGACTTGGCCCTCGGACGGAGCCGGGGACTCGGAGACGGCCCTTGGAGGGAGCCGGGGACTCGGAGACTTGGCCCTCGGAGGGAGCCGGGGACACTGTGCCAGCCAGGGTGGGGGGATCGGAACAGGTTATGCTGCTGCAGTCACATTTATTTGGTCTCAGAGGCCAGAGTCATGATCCAGGGTAGAAGCTCCTGGACTCGGCGTCCCATGTCTTCTCATTGCTGGGCCTGAGGGAGGAAGACACAGAGATATGCAGCAGGGTGGGGAGGAGGAGAGGAGAAGACAATAAAATGGGGGCCAAAGAGACAGAGGTTCAGCCGGCCACCTCTGCCCTCTGCCCACTCACCTTGTTGAAGAAGTAGATGGAGGCAAGGATGGTGAATACAGCCATGGCCAGGGTTACGTTCTGGGGGGAGGGGTCAGAAGTCAGGGCCTAGCCCCTCCCTTCCCTCGCCCCAGGCCCCCCTCCCCCTGCCAGCCCCCTCCTCACTTCCTGAAAGTTCATGGCCATGGCCTTGAGCAGCACACTTGTTTGACCTCCTCCCTCTTTCTCTCCTGGACTCTGAGCCAGAGAAGGCAGATCAGCCACCAGAACCTTAGAGGGGTTGCCTGGGAGACCAGAATGGTGGCCGTGGTGACGAGAGAAGGGCATTCTGGGTAGGGAGGGCATTGGGCAGATGCTGGGGGGCGGGGGCTTGGACGGAGAAAATTACCTACAGTATCTGAATTTGGGACTGGACACTTGAGATTGGAGAATCCAGCCCTCCAACACCACACTCAGGAGTTTATTCCCCCTCCCCCAACCCGGGGTGCTGGGGAGCCATGGGAGGCTGGGAACAGAGGAGGCACCCAGTTAGCTCTGGCTGTCAGTGTCTTCGAGCAGGGAAGAGGCTGGCAGCCTGGAGAGGACGCGAGGCGGCCCAGACAAAACTTCCTCCAGCAGCGTCTGCCGGTCACAAGGGTGGGAGCGCTGCCGCCGCGATTTGCCCACCTCTGGGCCCCAGGCCCGCGGGACGCGCCTCCCCCCGCCCCCCCGGCGGGCGGTCCCTGGCTTATCCTGCACCAGCCTTCCCGCTGGTATCGGAGACATCTCTTTGTCCATGACGCCTTTAGAGCTCCCTTCCAAGTTACCAGAAATACGGAGAATAAACAAGTACCGTCGACTGTCCTTACCCGCGGACTCCATCTTTGCGAATCCGCCTCCTCGCTGTATCATCCGTAAACCCCCCAACGCAGACTCACTCGCTGCCCTCTCGCGGTCATTCACGGACATGCGCAGAACGGCTAACATTTTGAGTTGCTGGATACACACATGTTCCCAGCTAAGGTCAGACGGGGTGACACTGTGCCCTCCCTTTTCAGCGCTCAGGCAGAGAGATGCCCAGAGGAGAGAGCCGGGAGCGGGCCGTGCAGCCCACGGACCTCCCGCTGGACGAGTTAGAATCCCAACTCTGGCACCTGCGGGTGGGGTGACCTTAGGCAAATTTTCTAGTTTGTAAAATAAAGAAAATAGGACCTCCCAGGCTACCACCTACCTATCTCTCTCTCATCATCATCATCATCTATATCTATATCTCATCAATATCTATCATCTATTTATCTAACATCTATATCTATCATCTATCACCATCTGTATCTCTATCATCAATATCTATCATCTATGTGGCTACCTATCTATCTACTTAGCATCTATATCTATCTATCCATCCATCTAACATCTATATCTATCTATCTATCTATCATCATCATCTATATCTCTATCATCAATGTCTATTATCTAGGGGCGCCTGGGTGGCTCAGTCAGTTGAGTGTCTGACTTTGGCTGAGGTCATGATCTCATGGTTCATGGGTTCAAGCCCCACGTCAGGCTCTGTGCTGACAGCTGGGAGCCTGGAGCCTGCTTCCAATTCTGTGTCTCCCTCTCTCTCTCTGCTGCTCCCCTGCTCATGCTCTGTCTCTCAAAAATAAATAAATGTTAAAATTAAAAAAATATCTATCTATCTATCTATCTATCTATCTATCTATCTATCTATCTATCATCAATCTATCTATCTATCTCATCTTTGGAGTTCCTCCTGAGCCCAGTTGTTATCCAGAGGACAGGGAGCCAGGACTGAGCTGAGGACAGGAGCTTGCCTCAAGGGCACGGAACACGATGGAGAAGGGCCCAAAGTAGATCATAGGGCTGTGGTCAGCCAGTGGGTGTTTCCCCATGTTTACTTGCGTGGTTGGCTGAATAATGGCCTCAAAATGCCTTAGTCCTCAAAACCTGTGGGAACCTTCCCTCACGTGGCTAAAGTGACTTTGCAGAGGTGACTGTGGTGGGGTCCTGACTCGGAGAGTGTGTCAGTCCATCCATTCTGTTCTAGTGGAGTATCGTGGAGGGCATGGCTGGCTCATCAACAACACACATTTATTTCCCACTGTCCTGGAGGCTGGAGGTCCAAGATCCAGGCACAGACAGACCTGGTGTCTAATAAGAATTGGCTTTGTGGTTCACAGCCAGCCAGCTTCTGGATGTGCCCTTCTGCCATGGCAAGGACACTCTCTGGAGTCTCTGTTATTACAGAATAACTGATTCCGCTCATGGGGGCTCCTCCCTCATGACCTAATCACCTCCCGAAGACCCCCACCTCCAAATGCCACCCCCTTGGGGGTTATGAGTTTGGGAAGACTCCTGAGCGGGCTGAAGAGGCACCCTTTCTTTGGGCAAAGCCTTTGAGACAGCCCCTCTGTGAGTCTCCCTCCCTGGTGGCCACGCCCCGAGAGTCCGCTCCCTCGTGGGACAGGACTGCTCTGCGGAAACAGCAGAACTGGGTGGAATCAGTGGAGACTTCTGAGGCTAGGCTGCAAGAAACACTCCTGTCTCCGTCGGTTCCTCCCACGGTGACTGACCAGGAGACACTGTCTTGGCCTCTGGCCAGCAGCCACACTGGTGAGCTCAGAAGTGGCTCTAGTTCGGGGCACCCGGGGGGTGCAGTCAGTTAAGCGTCCGACTTCGGTTCAGGTCATGGTCTTGCGGTTCGTGAGTTCGAGCCCCACATTGGGCTCTGTGCTGACAGCCTTTGGATCTTCTGTCTCCCTCTCTCGGCCTCTCCCCTGCCCTGTGCTTGCACACTGGGCATGCTCACTCTCTCTGTCTCAAAACCAAATGAACATTAAAAGAAATAAAAGTGGCTCAAATTTCCAAATGACTGCAGCCCCAGCCAACAACCTGACCTCAGTCTTGTGAAGATCCTAAGCCAAGACCACCAGCTATGCCACTCCCAAATTTGCGACCCACCAAAACTTCGAGAAATAAGTGGCTAGTGTCTTAAGCCACTAAGTGGTCAGGTAATTTGTCACACAGCAAGAAATAACGATTTAGAAGTTGGTCCTCAAAACCCTGTTCTAAGTGCTGAATATATTTGAACTCATTAACCCTCAAGGCAACTCTCTGGGGTACAGACTGTACTCGTTCCCATTTTATGAATGAGGAAGCTGAGGCACAGAGAGGTGCAGTAACTTGCTGATGGTTGCGCAGCTTGTAAATGGTGAAGTTGGGGTTTGAACCCAGCCTGTCCAATTCTGGGCTCTGGGTGTTCAACCACGGAACCCTGCTGGCTTGGGCCAGCTGTGAGCGGCACCCGAAGTTGGTGACATCTCAAAGAAGCCTGAGAGAGCTACAAAGACCTCCGACATTTAAGGGGTGAGAATAGGGGCGCCTGGGGGGCTCAGTCAGTTGAGCGTCCGACTTTGGCTCAGGTCAGATCTCACGGTTCGTGGGTTCGAGTCCCGCATCAGGTTCTGTGCTGACAGCTCAGAGCCTGGAGCCTGTTTCGGATTCTGTGTCTCCCTCTCTCTCTGCCCATCCCCCACTCCTGCTCTGTCTCTCTCTGTGTCAAAAATAAATCAGCTATAAAAAATTTTTATAAAAAGGGGTGAGAATAGGAAAAAACAGGCTTGGGTGGTGAGGAGGGAGGAGAACGAAGAGCATCTAGAATGTGGGGCTGGGTGGGGGTGGGGGGTCTCTGTGCCTCCCTCTGCACTCGGGTTAAGGGCCCCTGGTTCAAATCCCAGTTTGACCACTCATTGCCTGTGTCCCCTCAGGCTAATGACTTAACCCTGCTGTGCCTCAGTTTCCCCAGCTGCACAATGGGGACAGTGATAACCATATCCCCCCGGGCCAGAGTTGCAGAGAAGATTAAATGGGTTGATTCACTGGCTAATCCAAAAACCCGGGATGGGGGTGGGGGTGGGGGGAGGAGTGGATCCCCGGAGGCCGCCGTGGCTGGGCAGGCGTGCCGGGACCCGCGGCCGGGGGGCTGAGGCAGGGGTAATGAGTGGGTGGGGCTGCGGCCCAGGCGGCGGGCTGAGCTCAGCGTCTGGGCTGTGTGGAGATGGCCGGGCCGGCGTTTGGGGGCCTCCCCGGCGGCCCTAGCCTGCTGCTGCTGCTGCTCCTGCCCCCCGCCCTGCCGGACGGACGCCTGGTGTTCGTGGCTGTGGTGAGGTGTCCCCCGCCCCCCGCCTGGCCCCTCGCCTCCCCCATGCCGGCCCTGACCTGGCCCCGTCCCCAGGTGTTCCGGCACGGCGACCGGGCCCCGCTGGCCTCCTACCCCACCGACCCGCACAAGGAGGCGATCACAGTCCTGTGGCCCCGCGGCCTGGGGCAGCTGACTGGGGTGAGAAGCGGGGAGTGCCCCGGAGGAGTGGGCGGGGCGGGGAGGGGTCCGCTGATGCCAGTTCCGCCCTCAGGAGGGGGTCCGCCAGCAGCTGGAGCTGGGCCGCTTCCTGAGGAACCGCTATGAGGCCTTTCTGAGCCCCGAGTACCGGCGGGAGGAGGTACTGCCCACGATGACCCTCACCTGGCCTCCTGACCTCTGTCTCTGACTCCACTGACTCCAGTACTCACTGTGGGCCTCTGCCTCTGGCCTTTGACCCCCTCCATAACCCAACCTGCACCCCATTTCTGATCTCTCACCTCCACACCACTGAGTTACTCATGCTGACCTCAGACCCCATCTCAGCATGAATATGTTTCACTTCTGACCTCCATCAACCCTGAGTTTTTCTTTTTTAAGTTTATTTATCTATTTTGAGAGAGGGTGCAAGCAGGGGAGCGGCAGGGGCGGGGCGGGGGGGGGGAGAGAGAGAGAGAGAGCGAGAATCCCAAGCAGACTCTGCATCATCAGCATGGAGCCTGACACGGGGCTTGAACCCACAAACCATGAGATCATGACCTGAGCTGAAACCAAGACTGGGGAGTTTAACCGACTGAGCCACCCAGGCGCCCCACCCCTGACTTTATTTTCTGGCTCTCACCTCTGTCTTTTGACTCCCACCAACTCCGACCAGACTTTCTGACCTCTGGTTTCTGATGCCAAAACTTGCCGATTGTGACTTTGACCCTCGCTGGTTCACTTTGCCCTCCCGACCTCCCATCTTTGATCTCTGCCCTTCATCAAGTCTGGATTTCCTTTCCCATGTCCTCCTCTGTCTTTCGACATCTCTCAATAGGAGCACTCCTCCTGACCTCTGATCCCTGATGGACGTGTACTGGATTCTGGTCCCATGTCCTTCAACCTCCCCTTCTAACCTTGAACTCCCAACTTCCAG